ACACACACACACACACACACACACACACACACACACACACACACACATATGTATATACATGCTTTATTGAGATATAATTCACCTATTTAAAGTGTACAATTCAGTGGGTTTTTTTGTACATTCAGAGTTGTGCAACAATCACTCTAATCATTTTAGAGCATTTCCATTACCTGTTCTCCTCCACCAAAAACCCCTGTACCCATGAGCAGTCACTTCTCTTCCCTCCACCCCACCCCCAGCCTCTGACAACCATAAATCTACTTTCTGTCTCTATAGATTTGGCTATTCTGGACATTTCATGTAAAAGGGATCATTCACTACATGGTCTTTGTGTCTGACTTCTGCCTCTTAGCATGATGTTTTCAGAGTTCATCTGTGCTGCAGAATGTATCAGTACTTCATTCCTTGTTACTGTTGAACAATATTCCACCATGTGGATAGATCACATTTTGTTTATCCATGCATCCATTTCATGGATGTTCTTTCCATTTTTTAGCTTTTTTTTTTTTTTTTTTTTTGAGACAGAGTCTCAGTCTGTCACCCAGGCTGGAGTGCAGTAGTGTGATTTTGGCTCACTGTAACCTCTGACTCCTGGGCTCAAGTGATTCTCCTGCCTCAGTCTCCCGAGTAACTGGAATTACAGGAGCATGCCACCATGCCTGGCTGGTTTATTGTGGTTTTTTTTTTTTTTGTATTTTTTAAGTAGAGACAGATGGGGTTTTGCCATGTTGGTCAGGCTGGTCTTGAACTCCAGACCTCGGGTGATCTGCCCACCTTGGCCTGCCAAAGTGCTGGGATTACAGGCGTGAGCCACTTCACCTGGCTGCCTTTTAGCTATTACTTCCACTCTTTGGCTGTCATGAATAATGCTGCTCTCAGCATCCGTGTACAAATTTTTGTGTGGACATATGTTTTCATGGGTATACGCCTAAGACTATTTACATATTCTTTTGAGTATACACCTAAGAATGGAATTACTGAGTCATTTGGTAACACTTTAATGTTTGGAGAAACTGCCAGTTGTCCAAAGCAGCTGCACCATTTTACATTTTCATGAAGAGTGTGTGAGGGTTCCAATTCCTCCACTTCCCCACCACTTGTTATTATCTGTCTTTTTTTTTTTACAGCCATTCTCTCAATGTAAAGTGGTGTCTCATTGTTGCAGTTTTTGGTTTACCTTTGATTGACATGTTGGGCATCTTTTCATGTGCTTACAAGCCATTTGTATATCTTCTTTGGAAAAACGTCTATTGAGAAATTTTGCTCATTTATTGAGTCATATTGAATGCTTTGAGTTTTATTTTCTTCATCTGTAAAAGAAGAATGCTACAGCCTTCAGAGAGTAGTGAAGATTAAATGAGAGAACATTTATTTGCAAGACACATAGCACAGTGCTCTGCACAGCACTTGGCAAGCACCCCAGAAAGTTAGCGAACCTTCCTGTCACCTTGCCTTGCAAGTAGAAACCAAGTGGAGTTCACTCTGCATTATGTCATCTAGCATACTGTGTTGCATGAAGACAGACTCAATAAATGCCTGAGGGTATAAATGGGCCAATTCACGCCATTCAGTATTCAAATTTGAATCTTCCGTGCTCTGCCCCCTTTCTCCCATTTCTTTCATTGAACCTTTTCTTTCTCGAACAATTTTCTTAATTTTATTCCTCTTGCCAGGTGCCTCCTCTTGTGAGATTTAACTTTGCAGTATCATTGAGGCCGAGTACAAAGACAGCCAAAGACATCACCTATGGCAGTCCCGGGGTGAATGTGATAAACCACTGAAGGGGCTGAACGTCTGACAGCCTGAGAGCATAGCCTATCCCATCTTAGCGAGCCACAAAAAGTAATTAAAGTACTTACAGGAGTGAGAAAAGGGAGCCTTTCAAAAACCCTGATTGCAGACTGTTATTTAACACAGTTCAGCAACGCTGGTCTGAGGAATTTTCACTTGTAGAGGACCCAGGCCGCCTTCAGGCCCAAAGATTCCAGATTGGTTCAGGCCACCTGGGGTGTGCAGACTGCAAGGGGCCACAATTGGGTGGAGAAAAGCAAACAATGTGATCACCACATGCACGCAGCCTGCCCGGGGTAGAGCCCAGCTTTGGTGCCTGGGGCAGGACTTGAAAGGACAAGCACAGGTGAGGGAAGGTGTGCTTGTCAGCCCAGTACCGAACACCGCGGTGGGATGTGAGCTGGGTGTGTACGGAACTGCTGGCTTTTACCTTAGGCCTGGAACAATGGGGACTGCGAAAAGCAAGGGGTGTGCGTGTGCCTCGGGTCCAGCTGCAGTACCGCGGTCTGAAACCCCAGGCCACCCTCTGAGTCTGCCTGAGGGCAAGTCTCGGAGCGTCCGCGGGAGGAAAGTGGAGATGCGAGTGTTCCGCAGGGCAGGGACTGGTTCCAACTCATCTTTGCATTCCAGGGCCCACTTCGGGGCCCAATGACTGTTTATGGAGCTCATGAAATGCTCCCTCAGGCTGGGCACGGTGGCTCACGCCTGTAATCCCAACACTTTGGGAGGCCGAGGCTGACAGATCACTTGCGGTCAGAAGTTCCAGATCGCCTGGCCAACATTGTGAAACCCTGTCTCTGCCAAAAAATACAAAAATTAGCCAGGCGTGGTGGCACGCACCTGTAGTCCTAGCTACTCAGGAGGCTGAGACAGAACTGCTTGAACCCGGGAGGCGGAGGCTGCAGTGAGCAGAGATCGCGCCACTGCACTCCAACCTGGGCGACAAAGCGAGACTCCGTCGTCTCAAAAATAAAAAAGGTCCCCTAGGCCCACGTTGCGAATGCGGGATCTGGGGCCCTGTCCCGGGAGGGGCATTCAGGAGCCAGCCTGGTGCAGGCATCGCGCGCCAGGCCACAGTCCTATGCGGCCGGGGATTCACTGCGGGGGCGAATCTTTCGGCTTGAGCAGAGCAGCGGCAGCTGCGGGTCCGTCCACTCGTGCTCCGCTCGGTTCCGGCTCCTAGACAGCCCGGGAGCCGCTCTCCGGGCCGAGAGGGACCCCCAGCATGGCGGCCTTAACACACGCTGCACCACAGTTACCCGACAACCCCTGCGGCTGAGGCGCAGGGCGAGTGCCTCCGGCAGAGCAGCCTGGACCGCGCCGCATTCTTCAGTGGACGACTGCCCTTGTCAATCACTGAGGAAACTAGACCATGGGTGTGGCCGGACATCCGGGGCTTTCCACCCTCGGAGAGAGGCGGGCTTGAGGTGGGGGAGATGGAAGGATGTCATACCCAATGGCAATCAAGGCCTTTGGCCTCGCGGCAGATTGGCAGGTACTTGAACCACTGAAGCGCCGCAGAGGGATACAGGCGCTCTGGCAGTGATTGGTTCAGTTCGCGGGTGGGTGGTTTTCTCCGTGCGTTGGTTCCTCACAGTGGGTAAATCGGGCACAGTAGATATAATTAACACGTAAGTGGAAGTGCTGCTGGTGAGGTTCGGGGATGTTTTCGTGTTTTGAAAGTTAGTATTTTGGCTTTCACAAAGCCACCTGATTTTAGTAGGCTTTACCTGGAATGACTCAGATTCCCTTTCGTTAGCTTAGTTAAGGCACTCCCTCCCCTTGCAGGGTCCGGGTTGGACAACGACCGCGCTGAGCCCAAATTACCGCCGAGATCGTTGGAAATGTGTGCAACTCAGTGAACTAAAGCGGAGATTAAATGGATGGTATTCAGTAGAAAATGGGACAAGACATGAATGGACACTTTACGGAAAAAAAAAAAAAATGCAAGAGGCCCCTAAACATTTAAGTGTGTGCTCAGCCTTTTTCATAATCAGAAGAATGCAAATGAAAACCTCACTGAGCTAACGCTTCTGTTCCATCAGGTTGTCAAAAATCCAAAAGTTTAACAAGGTACGCAGTTAAGGACAATACAGGAACCGGATCTGTCCTGCATTGCTGGGGCGGGGGGAGTGCAAATTTACCTTTGACTCGAAGTCCACCTCTAAAATCTATCCTGAAAGTAAACCTTCACAAATATGAAACAACCTACTCACAAAAGTTTTATGTGTAGCGGCATTATATGAATTTGCAAGACTGGAAACCATGCAGATATCCATGAGAGGGGGAATGACTGAGCAAGCTGGTACATCCGGGCTGGTACCCAGCTGACTCTGTGGCAATATTTTCTATGGCGTGGTCTGTCTCCAGAGATGATGTATATAGGCTGCTACCTTTAGCAAAAAGAAGCACTGAAACGATAAAACCAAAACTGATAAAAATGTTAGCATAAAATGGTGGAGAATCTGGTAGAAGCCCTAGAGGAGTTCCACCAGAAGAAAAATAAGGTGATAATAATAATAGTTTAAAAAAAAAAATTGTGGTAATAGGAATTTGCAAGGCTTTCTGTTCTGAAACCCGACAGTAGACCCAGAAAGGCATACTTGGCTGGGTGGGTCTCAAGTTACTTATATAAACCGGAGGCCATGCCATAGCCTGGTGAAGGATTTCTGGTACCCTGCCCCTTTCCAAAAAGATGTCTCTTTGGGAACTCTAAAACTGGAATGGTCCATCAGCACTGTCCTTTTGGCAGACAAGGCAGGACTTTGTACCCCAATAGTGACTTGGTTTGGAGGTAGGCCGCCCCAGAACAGGATGGAATCTTGGGCAAGGCATTTGCTGTCAGGCTGGCTGCAACCTCCCCCTCAAGGCTGTGAGGAGAGAAGCAAGGAAATAACTTCTACCTCCTCTAAAGTAGGAAACCTCCTCACCTGCCACTTCTGCAGTGAAAAGTAGAGACGAAGGCCTGGCACAGTGTGTTACCTCTGTAATCCCAGCACTTTGGGAGGCCAAGGTGGGCTGACTGCCTGAGGTCAAGAGTTTGAGACCAGTCTGGCCAACGTGGTGAAACCCTGTCTCGACTAAAAATACAAAAAAATTAGCTAGATGTGGTGGTGTGTTATTTCTTTGCTTCTCTGGATGGAGGTACAACGGACACTTGGAGGGAAGGAGGCCCTGAAAAGTCTTTAGCAGGCAGTCTTTGGTAGACAGAACTGCAGATACTGATGAGTGACAGGCCACTGCTATTTGTGTCATGTAGGTAGGCCAGCCTGGGCAGGGTCCTCAGCAGAGTGATAGAGGGAGAGCAGGGGAGAGATGCAAAGGCTTTGGGACTGGTTCCCATCACCGGAAAGAGGCTCTGTGCACCTGAGTGTTTTAGCTTCTCCCAACCTCCACACCCAGAGAGAGTTCCATTGGGATTGGCTTCTGTAGGCCTCTGTGGCTCTAGGTTCTTGGCGGAAGTGACATACATACTGATGATGCTCAGCTATGCCTGCCATGTAGGCGCCTTTCCCTTGGTGTTTGCGATCTTTCTCCCACCCTGCTGTTTCTTTCTGCCCTCCTTTATGCTTTTTGGCTTAGATTTGGTTTATTCACTGAACTGAGTATCTGTGAGCTGATGAGAGCAATCTCAGATGAGGTGGCAGAAATGGTGTCAACAGAGGCCAGCACTTATGGGGAATAGATAAGAGCTACCCAACACCAGAGCAAACCAGCAGTATTTCCATGAAGTGTCCAAGGCCAGGGGTGGGGCCTGGGCAGTGGACACCCACCACCAAGGAAAAGGAGGATGCTGAGCACTTCAGACACTGGCTTCCGAGTGCCCATCAAGCCCTGTCCTGGACCTCATAGGAAACTCAGGCAGTGCAGGTGTCTCCCCAACACCCATGCTCCCTTTAATCACAGATCCCCAGTGAAATTCAGTAACCTTGTCTTCAAGTGGCCATGTCTTAAGGAGATGCTGGACCCAGCCCCAGGCTCCTGGGATCTAGGCCCATCATGGTGGTCCCATCTCCTTGCCTGTGACTGAAACATGGGCACATGCCATATTCTGGCCAATTGGGATCTGAAGAGATGTGGGGCAGGGACACCTGAACCAGTTCTCTCACGCCTAGAGACGCAAGCAAGAGATGCCCTTTTCTTGCTTCTGGATGAGATACCTGAACTCCTGCAGCCATCTTGCCACCATGAGGAATGCTAGTCTCCAATGAAAGCCCACAATAGGAGGAAGACAGCTAAGAGAACTGTGGCTTGAGTCCCGACCGTTCTGGGTCTGGAGCTGTTCTGACTTTTGACTTCTCATGTGAGAGAGCCCTGCTCTTGTTTAAGCCAGCTGAGTCGGAGTTTTCTGTTCATTGCAGTCAGAACATCTTAGCTGGGACAAGTATACAGAAGTTCCTTCAGTTTACTTCTCCCATAGCCATGAGGATTTTGACTCAAGTACATGAATCCTTCCTGTTTGGTATAATCAGAAAAGAAAGACCCAGAAAAGAAAGAAGAGGAAGGAGAAAGTGGGCAATGGAACCACAGGAGCTTTGCAGCATGGCCTGGGAAGGGATAAGGGCACCTACGAGTCTTCCCTGCCCACCGACGTGCATTTAGCGGGGGACAGACAGATTAGCTGATGTAAGGGTCCCTAGGACCTGAGACAGAGAATAAATAATTCTTTTTTTGTTTTGTTTTTTTGAGACAGAATCTCGCTTTATCACCCAGGCTGGACTGCCGTGGCGTGATCTCGCTGACTACAATTGTCGCCTTCTGGGTTCAAGCGATTCTTCTGCCTCAGTCTCCCCAGTAGCTGGGATTACAGGCATGCGCCACCACGGCCAGCTAATTTTTGTATTTTTAGTAGAGACAAGGTTTCACCATGTTGGCCAGGTTGGTCTCGAACTCCTGACCTCAAGTGAACAAAGAATTCTTCAATCATAACATGGCTATATGCTTCTGACAAAACAGATTAAAACAATTTTAAGAAGGAAAAAGCATTGACCACAAAAAGAAAAACACTCGTATTTAGATCCAACAACAGACACAGAGAGTGAACGGTCTGCAAAGAAGCAAAAGGGATCACAGAGCGGAACAGGGAGGGGCTCCTGAAAAGCAGAGGTAAGCAGAGGCCGTGGCAGGAAGGTAACCTCACGACGGCTAGCATGAGACAGGACAATGTCACCGCTCCACGTTTTTTAAGGTAGTGTGTTGACTGAACTTTATTTCAGCAAACAAAAAATAAGAACTTGCATAGGCTCTGTCTCTAGCATACCCTCCCATACTCGGTTTGCTCAAGATCTGTGAATGGTCCTGCCAGTGGGTTGATCAGAAATGGGACCTGCAAGGCCCAGTTGTCCCCATCACTGTATGTTCACTCACAAAGACGGAACAGCTGCTGTGCTGTCCCAGGCACTGCTCTTTGAGGCCCCTTTGGCATTTTATTGAATGCTTTCTGGTGAGGTTCTCTTTCCCTGCACATGGGCTTTCTTCTCAAAAGGCCTTTAACCTGCTGACAGGTAGGGACCAGGTTGTCTATTTTATTTCTTCTGTCTACAGTGTATAGCATAGTTCTAATATAATTAGGCAAGTAATAAAAAAAGTCTTGCCTAATTATATTTAAAGTAAGTAGCCTGCTTAAGTGAGAGATTCTGGCAGATCTTACCTCTAGTACCATTATTTTGTGCCAGGATAAAAGATGAGTCTCTGAATTAGACTTTTTGCTAAAAGAATGCTCCTGGCTGGGCATGGTGGCTCACACCTGTAACCCCAGCCCTTTGGGAGGCCAAGGTGGGTGGATCACCTGAGGTCAGGAGTTTGAGACCAGCCTGGCCAACACTGCAAAAACCTGTCTCTTCTAAAAATACAAAAATTAGCCGGGTGTGGTGGTGCATGCCTGTAATCCCATGTACTCGGGATACTGAGGTAGGAGAATCGCTTGAACTCACAAGGTATAGATTGCAGTGAGCAGAGATTGTGCCACTGCACTCCAGCCTGGGCGACAGAGTAAGACCCTGTCTCAAAAAATAAAGTAAAATAAAAGAATGCTTCCCTTTAGCTGGGTGTCATGGTGCACACCTGTAGTCCCAATTACTTAGGCTGAGGCAGAAGGATTCTGAGAGCCTGGGAGGTCAAGGTTGCAGTGAGCCATGATGGCACTACTGCACTCCAGCCTGGGTGACAGAGTGAGACCCTGTCTCTAAAAAAGCAAAGCAAAACAAACAAAACAAAACAAAACAAGAATGCTCCCCTACATCTTGCTTTCCTACAGTTACAGAAACTTCCAGAAATCTCCACAAGGCAGAATAAGAGTGTAGTGTTGGCCAGGTGAGGTGGCTCACGCCTGTAATCCCAGCTCTTTGGGAGGCAAAGGTGAGTGGATCACCTGAGGTCGGAAGTTGGAGATCAGCCTGGCCAACATGGTGAAATCCCATCTCTATGAAAAATACAAAAATTAGCTGGGCGTGATGCCTCATGCCTGTAAACCCAGCTACTCGGGAGGCTGAGGCAGGAGAATGGCTTGAACCTGGGAGGCGGAGGTTGCAGTGAGCCGAGACTGCACCACACTTCAGCCTGGATGACAGAGTGAGACTCCATCTCAAAAAAAAAAAAAAAAATTGGATCAGGAGAGGGCCTCAGAGCCCCATAACAGCCGAACCCTCACCAGCAAGCAGAAGCCAGAGGGATCAGGGACTTTCTCCTCTGAAGAAAACAATTTTGATTCCTGTAAAGTAATATACACATGGCAAGAACTGGGCAAGTCTGTATAGAATGTACGCTTGCATCTATGTTTATAAGGGAAAATTAGGCCTACGGAAGTCTGGGAAGGACAAGGGCATGGGGCATGGCCGCCGTGGGCATCCCGCGGACACAGCTACATGTCGTAGAGCCGGAGCTGCTCCTGCACGTCGCCGTCCGACATCTCGCCAAACGTTTCCTTGTTGTCTTTCATGAGCTTGAAGATGGCAGCCAGCTGTTCCTTCTGAACTCTGTCGAGAAGAAAGGACAAAGAGGAAGAAGGTGCTCCTAACCCACTGGAGAGAGAGAGAGAGAGAGCCTGTGTGCAGCCAGCGGAGGTGGGACTCCCCTCCCTCCTGTGTTACAGCGGTTGCTTTTCAGAACTAGAAGAAAATGAAAATAAACAAAACCCACTTAGAACATAGGAGTTGGTTGGGTCTGACACACTCAGCTTTGGAGGGCTCTAAAAACTGGAATTCTAAATCTCAGGTTTGCAGGAGAGGTTGGGGGACCCAGGTATCACTTAGGTAAGCTGTGCCTCAGTTTCCCGTTGGGTCTCATCTGATCATTGACTGCACATCCCACAGTGATGTAATGAGGAAGAGATGGGCTCCATGAAGCGGTTGAGGTAGTACTATGAAGCAGGTTAGAAACAGCGTTCGTTGAGAGGAATGAGCCGAAATGGAGAAAGAAAAAGCATCATCAGCTGGGAAGCTGGGGAGAATACAGATGTGTGCAAGACGGCGCTTGGCAAAGGAGCAAGGGCAGCCTGTGGGGTTTCACTGCCCGGAGAACGGGGGACGCCTTTTCCTAATTTGCACAAAGACACCCTCTGGCAGGCAGCATCCCTGCCCCTTTTACCAAGGAATGGGTGTAGAGGAAGACTGGCCCTAATGTTTGCTTCCCACCGGCTGTGTGCTGGGATAATAAATGTCTTATTATCTTTATGAGGCTCCGCCACACCATCTGACCAGCACAGGACAACTCCCGCAACACAAACACCTCAGGGTGGGGCGAGGCCACCGCCAAACCCAGGGAGCCGTATGTTGTTCTGCTCTGGTGCCCTTGGCACTGCCTGCTGGGCACTGCATCCTGCTGCATCTCACTCTTCTGGTTTCTGCAGTTCCTGCCCTCCACGCCACACCACGGCTCAGTGCCTTCAGAGAACCTAAACCACACTGGGCGTCAGCCCTCTCACCCCACCCTGCAGCTGGGTCGGCCGTAAGCACATTACAGGTCTGGCAGCTGCAAAGCTCAGCAGAGCTCTGGGCCCCTGGCACTGCCTGGAGGGGTGGTCTCCACCTTTGCTCCCATACTTTTCCTACCACATTCCTTGTTTCACCCTTCCCTCCTGTCTCCAGCCCCGCATCTTCCATCCCGCAAAGTTTTCTGTCTAGAGCAGCATGTAGTAGTTAAAATACGGAAGTCCCCCTTCCCAGACTCCCTTGTCCCCTGGGAAAGCTGTGTCTACAGTCAGTTCCTGTCTGGAGAAGCAGCAGCCTATGATGTGTGCTTTGTGCCCTACTGTAGGAAAAGGGTCAGGCGCAGCAGCTCACGCCTGTAATCCTAGCACTTTAGGAGGTCAAGGTGGGAAGATCACTTGAGTCCAGGAATTCGAGACCAGCCTGGGCAACACAGTCAGACCCTGTCTTTACAAAACAATCAGCCAGTGTGGTGGTGAGCTCCTGTAGTCCCAGCTACCTGGGAGGCTGAGACAGGAGGATCACTTAAGCCCAGGAGGTCAAGGCTACAGTGAGCTGTGACTCCACCACTGCACTCCAGCTTGGGCAACAGAGAGAGCCCCTGTCTCAAAAAAAGAAAAGAAAGGGATTCCTGTGAACAGAAAGGGCGTGCCGAGCTCCGTGGATGGAAGCACAATCCATATATCCCTGAGTGAACACAGATCATGTCGTGGTTTTGACAACTGTGGTGACTGCATATTTTTAACAGGGGGGATGTGTTTCTGTGCTCTGCTGCAGAGTATGAGGCGTCAAAATGAAAGCGAGGTCAAACCGTAATGGATTCAAAAGGATTTGTTTTTAAAACAAACTGAAAAAACACACAGTAATTGAGATCATCTACTCAAAGTTTATTGGACTGAACAAAGGCTGAATACAGAGATCCAAGCCATCAGGAGTACATGAGGTGTGGTGCCTACAAACCATGGTCAGAGTTTCCAGACAAACCTAGATACCTCTACTGGGAGGGAGTCAATGACCTATTGTATCGGTTAGATCCCCTCCTGGCCAAGGACATGACTGTTGCTGTTTGGGGACACAAGAGTACATCTGTTCATCACGTGGCGCTGTGTTGAAGGCAATGACTGTGTGGCTGCTGCCGTGTGGCCTGTTCTCCCCTAAACCCTGAATCTAAGGTTGCAGGCCCAGATGAGAAGGCCACCAGAAATGCATGCCATCGGTATTGATGCTGGACATTCCCAGCCTTCCATTAAATGAACAAATTTTCTATAAACCTACTGCTTTAAAAAAAAAAAAACATTTTAACCTACAAACCTAGGAACGGCAAATTAGCTTGGTATAGTATAAATATTGTCAAATATAAAATTCCAAGAAACGAATCTGAGCCTGGTCTGATGATCTGAAGTTCTAACTAATCTATCAAACTTTCTAAGAAAAGGCATAGTCAAGAAATCTTTTTAAAGCAAACATTATTGCTTTTGCTGTAGCAGAGTGGAGATTTGGCTGAGCTGGTAAGAACGTCATTGAAAAGGTGTCTTAGCAATAAAAGGGCTGAATTCAAGATTCCTCTGGATGAAAAATAAGGGCAGTGATCAAGTCAACACCTGGTACTGGTTCTTCACTGCCCTGTAATCAATATGGCGTCTCACCCCCAACCACCAAGCCAGCTAGAGAGAGAAGTGGGGTTACCAGGGACAGGGGCCGGCTGACCACGCTGACGGAGCTGGTGAGCACAGGTGAGCTCTACCTCATTTGTCTCTCATTCCTCAAAGTCTTCTGTGGTTTGGCTTCAGTGAGGGCAAAGGAGGGGACTGGAGTGAAAGTGTACTCTGCTCTTAAAGTGTTCGTTTTATCTAAGGTGTGCAGGGCGTGTGGATAGCAAGTTTGGGTGGTAAGAAAGATCCAAGTCCAAGGTTTGAGCTCAAACTCTTAAAACCCTTCAGCTTAACAAAGTGACCCACAGAAATGGACATGAACATCTCGCCACAGGGCAGGGCCAAAGGTGTTCCCGGGATCCTGCTAGCCCAGGGCCAAGTCCTGATTGAGGGTCTAGAGCTCAGCACATTTATGGAGGCTGCATGCACCCTGGGAGCCTGCCCAGACTCCTCTCTGGGGGTTCCATTTTATCTCAAGCTTTTAAGATGCCAAAAGGAAAAGCCTTTAGGAGGACGCTAAGGATAACTTCGTTATTCTTCAGTTCTGTAAAGAGAAATGGGGAGAAAAAGATAATTTATTTCACTCATTCCATCCTACACGTACCATGGGTGAGGAAAGGGAGAAATGGGTACACGGAAGGAGAATGTTTGGAATTGCAGAAGCTGCGCTAGACTCCGGTTTCTCAAACCCCTGCTGATTTGCTTCTCATCATTTGCAGCAAGAGAGTCTGTGCCACAAAGCTGGCCAGAGCTTGCAGAGCTCTCCTTGATCCCGCACAGAACCTGACAGCCCACAGACCCTGTTCAGCCTCTGCAGGGTACTTAAGAAAGGAACTGCGGCAGTTGAGTTACCAGGGCCTTTCTGATCTTTGGTTGTGAGGTTGTGCTGACAATATTCCTATCACCCTAGATAATTTTCCATTCCTGCTGGCTGAGTTTCATCCCCTTGCGGGATCCTGGCACCCTAGGACGCGTGCTTCCAGACGGAGCCAATGGTGTGCCCATCTTTTATGAACCAAGACACATTTCGAGCCCTGGGACCGCAGAGAACGCAGCAGTCTGATCTTGTCCCTCTGGCGCCCTCTCCTGGTGGTTACAGTCCCGCGGGCATTTCCAGCCTGAGCTATGGTTCCTTGGCCTCCTCCTCTTCCCCTTCCCTGTTTTACCACGCCCCGCCGAACACCCTCTAGCTCTAGAGTCTTGTCCATTTCCAGAGGAGTCAAGACAGCCCTGCAGACCTCAAATGGAGGGACGGGTCCTGACCTATCAGAGCCAGCCTAGTCTACAGGCTGGGTTCTGTTTTCCCTCTGAGACCAGAAAGTGGGAAGAAGTGATGGAGAGGAGCTGACAGACGTGCCTTTTCTTTTCTTTACTTTTCTTGTGTTTTCTTTATTTTTTCTTTCTTTCTTTTTTTTTTTTTTTGGACAATGTTTCGCTCTTGTTGCTCAGGCTGGAGTGCAATGGTGCAAACTTGGCTCACTGCAACCTCCACCTCCTGGGTTCAAACGATTCTTCTGCCTCTGCCTCCCAACCAAGTAGCTAGGATTACAGGCATGTGCCACCACACCCAGCTAATTTTGCATTTTTAGTAGAGACGGGGTTTCATCATGTTGGTCAGGCTGGTATCGAACTCCTTGGCCTCCCAAAGTGCTGGGATTAATGGCGTGAGCCATGGCGTCTGGCCCCCATTTTTTTTTTTTTTTTGAGATGGAGTCTCACTGTGTCACCCAGGCTGGAGTGCAGGGGCCCGACGATCTCGGCTCACTGCAACCTCCACCTCCCAGGTTCAAGCCATTCTCCTACCTCAGCCTCCTGAGTAGCTGGGACTACAGGAGCATGCCACCATGCCCGGCTAATTTCTTGTATTTTTTAGTAGAGATGGGGTTTCACCATATTAGCCAGGATGGTCTTGATCTCCTGACCTCATGATCCACTCGCCTTGGCCTCCCAAAGTGCTGGGACTACAAGCGTGAGCCACCTCACCCAGCCTAGCCGGGGCTTTTTTTTTTTTTTTTCCTACCAAGCAGCAAGGTCAGCCAAGCCCTGTCAGCTTCCCTAGCTCTGGGGAGGAGGCGGCCTCTTGCTCTGGAGAGCTGTTACCAGCCTGCAAGGCCACTGTTGTAGCCACACTCTGAAACTGGAGGTGGCACCTCCCACAGCAGCTTCAGCGGAACCCAGGGAGGCCCCCAGAGGCATGAAGCATATGAACGCCTGGCCTGAGGGGAGAGCTGAGGCGCAAAGCAGGATCTTAGCAGCAGCTGCCTCTGATGTATGGACCTGACCGCTTTTTGCCCCCAGGCAGAAGGAATTTGATCAGTGAGTAGTTTAAGGATGAGACTGCCCAGTTCAGCATGTCGGGGCAACTAATTTGGGGCCTCCCACTTCCAGTCCCACTTCCTAATTGTCATCAAAGCCTGTGAACTGAGGCCCCTGGGGACTGCTGGAACCAGCAACACCAAAGCTTCCGGTTGTAGCTGCAGGTCTGTTGGCTGAGCTAGTGAATTTACAGGTGGGGGACATGCAGCGTTTAGCTGCAACTTGACTGTGGACCCCGAGAGCTGGAAAAGGAATCAGAGGCACGGAGCCTGGGGGGGCAGAACCTGACAGGCAGAGAGAGAGCACCCTGCTAGCTGGCCTGTGGTTTTAGTGATTTGATAATAACATGCATGTTATTTTTATAATGATGATTCTAGGGCGGTTCCCTGGACTCACTGGGACCGGAACTGTCTCACAGCTGCCAGCGTTCCCCACCACCATGGGAACCCCCATGCTGAAGATGAAAAGCCAAACTGACCAGCCTCTGCAACCCCAAGCATCACCATGTGAGGACAGCGTGGTGTGGTGCCGCGGGGACCCCACGCAGTGCCTCGAGGGGCAGCCACGTGCAGGGGGCAGAGGTGGGGGGGAGCAAGCAGATGCCGCCAGCATGCCTGGGAGCCACAGGGAGCAAGCGGGCTGGGCAGTGATGGGAATGAACGTGAACTCCAGTCCCGCCCCATGAAGTCCTCCAGCCCCTCCTCTCAATTCAGGGCACCAGGTGGTAACTGCAGGGTGCAGAGGAGTCAGGGACTCTTCCCTCATCCCAAGAGCAGCACCTTGGGCCTCCATCCCACGGAACAGCCAAGGGTGGGTTGGTGGTCTAGAGACCTCCGAAGATCTAGTGGGGAAGGATGGGTAGCAGGGGGGTCTACTCTCTTAAGGGGAAGGGATTTTCCCTCCCCTTTGCCAAGGTCCCAGCTCCGGACGTGGGTGGCAGTGGCAGATTCACCCCCAGCCTGAGGCCTGGTCTTTCCTGTCCTAAGAGGCCCTCCAGATCCATCTGTTTGAGCAACCTCTGTCCCCAGGGACCTTCAAGGGCTGGCAGGTGTGTCCAGCCCCTCTAGCCTGTGTCCAGGGACCGCAACCTTTTTCTGCAATGGGCCAGATACTATTTAGATTTGGGAAGGCAGTGTGGTCTCTGCTGCAGTGACTCACCTCAGCCAGTGTGGCGTGAAGGGGCACAGACCACAGAAAAATGGGTGAGTGTGGTGTTCCTGTTGTTCCTGCCACGCTGGGTTGACACAGCCAGGCGGGGGATCAGGTGTGGCCCGGCCATCGTCTGCCAACCCTTGCCCTGATCCTAAGAACCTGCCTGTCCCACAGCTTGGGAGCACAGACCGCTGTCAGGGTATCTGCTGGGCACTGTGCAGAAGCTGCCTCACTTTCTCAGGGTCAGACCTGACAAGGCCACAGGGTGATGACATCCACATTCCCGAAGCCTGAGTTCCCAGGGTGACAGTGCCCCCAGCCTCCGAGGGGCACTAGCACCCCAACCTGCTGGCCCATTGGGCCCCTCCAGGAACTCAGGGACTTAACGCCCCTCCAAGAACCTCTGCCCCCGGACGGGGGCTTTTCTGCCAGTGATTCCTGGTGCTTGAGAAGAATGAGGAGGGCACAGGTGGAAAATGTATGAATCGGTTATGAAGGCAATGGAGGAGGGGAGGTTGAGGCCGGTCAGTTGTGTTGGGGGCATGTTAGCACACAGTAGGAGGGGAGCACCACTAGTCTAAGAAATCAGTGTCCTTACCAAAAGGATTTGCAAGAATATGTGTGGCTCAGGACCTAAGGAACTTGCTACAGGGAAGTGAGGTCAGAGGTCAGCTCAATCCTGAAATATAAATGCAGCAAACCTGGTCATGCCAAGAGGCAGCATCCTTAGCACCTGAGGACCCAGGGCTCCTGCTAGGGTCTTCCTCCTGGCTGTGCTTACACTGCCGCCCCCAACCACCCAGGGAGAAGCACTTTCCTGCTCAGGGTCGAGAGAGCTGATGCCAGCACCGGGCAGGGAGACAGGGCCTGTCACCGGCAGAGCAGCTCTGAGGCTAGAGGGCCGCCTGCTGGCTGGCCTGGCATGCAGTCATGAAAGGGCGGTTGAGTTCTGATTCGGAAATCATAAACCTCCTCTTCCGCTCGGACCCTAGACTGCTTGCTTCTGCTGACGAGTAGGGGGTGATTCCCATGAGCTGCTCTGGGTTGCCAGGCTGGGAAAATGGCACAACCACCACCTAGACTTCTGCCTTAAATAAAGGAGTCCAGGCCACGCTGCAGAAGGGCAGCGATGTGAGTACCAGAAGCCTTCTGGGCCTGGTGCACGTGACTGTGCCTCTGCTGAGGCGCCCCCATCTTCCCCACTGCGCCCAGCGCACCCCTTCCCACCCAGCGCCCAGCGGCTGAGCAGGGGGTGTCCAGATGGGAAGGGGGAGCCCAATTCCAACAACGGGAAGCCACAGGCGCACCGCCCGGAGCTACAAGGCGCTGCTGCAGGTGCCAGCCTGGGAGGCCACAGAATGATGAACACCAGGAATCTGCTGTGTCCCGGAGAAACTGAGAAGTCGGCTCTGCTGGGGACTCCATGTGTGAGTGACAGCTGGGTCTGCTCCAGGCTCTTTCCTGGCATCTCATTTCTTTAGATGAGGGCAGTGGGGTGTGGAGGGGTGTGGGATGCAGTAAATGGGCTGTGTCCCCCATCACCAGTGGCCTCCCCCTGGTCAGTTTTAGGGAGGGGTTCCAGGGGCATGCGAGCCTGGCTGACCAGGACAAGAAAGAACCCCTAAACTGGGAAGGTGGGGTGTTGGTTGGGCGGAGCTTACTGTAGGAGCCCCACCTCCTTTCTGGGCCCTTCTGCCAAGCGGCAGGAGCATGAAGGGCTCAGGGGGGCACCCCCAGCCCTGGGAGCCCGCCCGGCGCCCGCAAAGGGGCTGCAGCCTACCTCTGCTCCTCCTCCAGCTCTTCTTTGGTCATCATCTTCTTGTACTGGTTTCCCCTCAGCTTCCCCGGGCTATATTTGAAGGAGAAGCCTTCTCCTGCGGAGAGGGGGCCAGGTCAGTGCTAGGGAGCGCTATAGAAGCTGGGTCCCCACAAACCCCGCCCCCGCTTTCCGTAGGTTTAAAAAGGACACCTCAGGCAGAGGCCACATCCGGCTGTCAGAGACATTTTCGCACCCCAGCGCCTACACCCCTTCTCATTCCATAGCGTTCCCTTAAATCCTACAATGAGACAGCCAGAGAGAAAGCAGTCCCGCACCTAGCCCACGCCTGTCTCCAGATGCCCGTCCCTCCCGGCATCTGCAGCACTCTGCCTGCCCTGGCCCTGCCCAGCGGGTCCCGGCTGCTGAGCTCAGAGGCGACAGCTCTGGCAGAGCACAGCGCATCTCGGGACACACACCGCGTCTGCCTGGGCTTGGGGAGGTAGGCCCTGCAGCCCAGGAGGCTCATGTCAGCCCCCCGCCCCCCGAGGCTATTGGAAATCTGAAAACATGCATCCACGCAGCCCAGCGTGGCCAGGCCAGGGATCCAGGATTTGCCAGAGTGAGTTTGATGTGTGTATTGCTGAAGAGGCATAGCCCAATTTGCTAGTCCCTGAGGGCAGACATCCCACTGCTGCCTGCAAAAAAGGGACAGATCTCGAGGCCTGAAGAGGGCACATGGGGTGGGAGGGCACAGAGGAAGCCAGACCTGTGCCCTGGAGTGGACACAGGTTCCAGGCACATGAGCCATGGTGAGAAGAGCTGAGCTTCTGGAGGGGAGAAGCCCCATCGGGGAGCACCCTCTTGGTTCCTCAATCCAGCAGGTTATCAGGCAATGCCTTAGGCCAGCCCAGGGCAGAGCTGCTGGCTTCTTATCAACCTCCGCTAACTAAAGGACCAGTGAGGGAGGCACAGAGAGATCCTCAGCTGCTGTTCTGGAAGCGCTGCCCTCTGTCCCCAACATCCTGTCCAATAGCCCAAAAAGCCAGGCCCCTCCCCTCTAGCTTCAGCCCTCATGCTACCAGATAAGCTGATGTGGACCGATGGGCAGGCGGGGGGCTCTCAGGGCGAAAGGAAGAAGGTTCTAGATTCGAATTCAAAACCCAAACATTTGGTTGGTTGTGGTGGTTCACTTGAGGCCAGGAGTTCGAGACCAGCCTGGGCAACATGGTGAAACCCTGTCTCTACAAAAATACAAAAATTAGCTGGGTGTGTGGCACACGCCTGTAATCCCAGCTACTCAGGAGGCTAAGGCAGGAGAATTGCTTGAACTTGGGAAACAGAGACTGCAGTGAGCTGAGATCACGCCACTGCACTCCAGCCTGGGCAACAGAGTGAGACTCCAGTGTCTAAAAAAAGAAAAGAAAATATTAAAAAATCCTGCCAGTCTTAGGTTTCAGTTTATGGGGCAAGTCTGATTAGTTTGTTTTCTGAGCCAGACAGAACAACGATTTGAAAAGGATTTCGGTCAATCACATGCAGTCACCAGGCCACACGGGTGCATCCAATTTTGCCAGGCCAGGAGGGTTCTATGTGAGAGCCCCAAGGGGTGGAGAGGCTTCTTTCTCTAGTCTCCTGAGAATCCACCGAGTCGCTCAGGGATGTCATTTCGGCGACACTAATCAATTAGCCACTGAGGCTGCCTGGCACCGCAGAGGGGCTGAGGGCTGCGCACGCATTCTTCCAACAGCTGGAGCCATAAACCTTTCCTTTCCCGGCCTTGCTAGAGATGGCAGGAGGCTAAGACGGCAGGAGGAGCTGGGGTAGGGGACATTCAGGGGCAGCGGCTCAGATGAGGAGGGAGGCTGGTGACAGCGCTGGGGGCTGTGCCCTCTGGCAGCCATGCCAGGGAGTGGGATCTGTGAGCCTCCCTCCTTGTCCTTGCCAAGAGGCCTCCCTTCCCTGTTCCCAGGTCACTAACAGGATCCCCACATCCCTTCAGCTCTCTTGGGCCATGTGGCAGGGCCAGATGCCAGGGCCATGGCTGCAGTGAGTCCGCAAAAGCAGGGAGCAAGGGTCCTTTCTGGTAAGGGACTAATGTCCCCCCCGTGGCCTGCTGCCTACACGCAAGCTTCAGTCTCCTCGCCTGCTTGCTCCAGGCTACGCGGATGGAAACGAGGCCCTCCTCAGGGAAGCTGTGTACGCCAGCCCTGCCTGCCCGCAGGAGCTGCTTCCTGCATTCCTGAAACCCTCTCTTTCCACTGCTCCTGCCAGCAGCCGACTTAAGGTCACAGCAACAGTCTTGCTGTTTTAAAATTATGAAATATTTCAAACATATACAAAACTGCAGAAGCACTAAGTCCTCCCTGTCCTTGCCGAACAGAGGCGACAAACGCCAAGATCTTGCAGGTCTGGCTCCACTTTCCTTTTTAGAGAAATAAGTGGACGGACTCCGCAGAAGCCACTCTGCGTTTTGCTCTGCCTCTGTCTGTCCCAGCCGGGTCGGACCTGGCAGTGTCTCCCGGTTCTCGGCCGCTCCCTTTCTCCTCTCAGTCTCATGGCTGGGGCATGTGGCCAGTCAGCCAGAGCTGCTCGGAAAGCAGGCGTGTCCCCTCCAGGGCCTTCATTCTGAAGAAGGCACGGGTGAGGCCTTTTGAGTGGTTTTCGTCGGTAAAATAGGTCAGAGGTGTTTGGAGAGGAACGTGGAATGTACAGATGGTCACAAGAGGAGAGTTGGGAGGCCGCGCAGGACAGAGCCGGGCAGGGTGCGTAGTGTGTTCCCAAGAGGGGTCCCCTGGGATGGGAAAGCCAAGCCCCAAAGTGCAAGGGGGGGGTCAGGGAGGGGGGACATCCACGGCGCCAGACTCCACCTCCCAGTGCTCCTCAGACCACTGACTCACCCCACCCCTCCCCTTGGCACTCAAACCCCAGCTCCTGGGATCCCCAGCAGGGCACAGGCCACCCCGACATGGTCAGGCCCCCTCATGAGCGCAGAGGTCCCACTCACCGTCCTCCTCCTCAGGCCCTGCTGACGATGGGCCCTTCTCTCCATCCAAGTCCTGCTCCTCTTCCTGCAAGACAAGGACAGGGTCAGTGCCCTTGGCAGAGAGTGGGTGACGGGAAGTGGTGGGTGGGCAGAAGGTAGGGGAGACAGAAACAGAGGAGGGCCTTGAAGGTGCATGCCCTGTGGTAGCGCCTGCCCTGTGGTCGCCGTCAACCAGCAGGCGGGGTCTGTGTGCAAATGCTGGGCCAAGGTGACTCGGCTCACAAATGCGGAGCTGAGGCGTGTTCTTGACTGTGTACCCCACGCCCTCGGCCTTGGCCTTTCCCAGGTCGGTGCCTGTCAAGGCATCCGCGTGCCGTTTGGAGAAGCGGGCACAGGACTCCCACTGCCTCGCTGCCATGAGTAGGCAAAGGGTGCAAGAGCAAAGCTGGCTGGGGCACCTGGGACCGGGGCGGGCAACACGGCCACTGCTGCCTCAGGCTTTGCTTCCTCCTATGCTGTTTTCCATCCCAACTATCTCAGTGTCCGTGTTCCCAAAATTGGAGCTCCACCTCTTCAGCCAGTCCTTTCCCACACAGACACAATAAACAGATGACTGGAGGAATGGCCCGGGATGGCCTTGGTGGAAGGAAGGAGTGACTTCAGCTTGCGGGAATGCCAGAGGATGAGAGCGACGTGCCGTGCCCATGGGCTCTGTGGGATTGAAGGTCGTGGGGAGGGGACATGGGGTCCCAGGAACCTGAACTTGGAAGCCCAGAGGGTAGACGTGGAAATGAATGAATGAGCAGCCCCAGCTGATCCCATGGAGCCCAGCCAGTGTCAGCAGCTGGGTCAGGGCTGGGTGGTGGGGGAGGCGCGGTCCCTAACAAAACATTGAGCTGTGCTGGGAGGCAGTTTCTACAAGCCCCATGGTGGGTCAGAAGTGGCAAACCCAGAGGGGCCTTGAGTTCCTCTGAGTGACTTTTGTTTTGTGGGTTTTTTTGAGACAGAGTTTTTGCTCTTGTTGCCCAGGCTGGAGTGCAGTGCCGCGATCACGGCTCACTGCAACCTCCACCTCCTGGGTTCAAGCAATTATCCTCCCTCAGCCTCCCGAGTAGCTAGGATTACAGATGCCTACCACCCGAGCCACGCTAATTTTTTTGTATTTTTAGTAGAGAATGGGATTTCACCATGTTGGTCTTGAACTCCTGACCTCAGGTGATCCACCCACTCCGATCTCCCAAAGTGTTGGGGTTACCGGCATGAGACACCGCACCTGGTCTGAGTGACTTTCTTGACTACACAAAACGCCGCCTGGGAGGAGCTGGGCGGGCAACAGGGTCTCTTCCCCACTTAGCGGTTTGTACACAGAGACTCAGCGCTGTCTGTGCCGAAGTGATGCTTAGGTGTCCTGACAGGTCCCAGACTTTGCACAGCAAAGTCTCTTCGTGGCTGAGGTGGGGGTAGGCAGGCCTCTTCATGAGGCAGGAGAGGAGCCATTCCATTTGACATAGAAAACCCACTTCTAAGAATCTGCTCCAGGCTGGAGAAATGTCCATCAGGATTTTTTTTTAAGTTTAATTTAATTCATTTACTGTTTTGAGGCAGAGTTTTGCTCTTGTTGCCCAGGCTGGAGCGCAATGGCGCGACCTCGGCTCACTGCAACCTCCACCTCCCGAGTTCAAGCGATTCTCCTGCCTCTGACTGGCTGGGATTACAGTTTCCTGCAACCACGCCATCTAATTTTTGTATTTTTAGTAGAGATGGGGTTTCTCTGTGTTGGTCAGGCTGGCCTAGAACTCCTGACCTTGGGTGATGCACCCGCCTTGGCCTCCCAAAGTGCTGGGATTACAGGCGTAAGCCACCATGTCCTGCCAAGGATTTTTACATAGTGACTCTCGTAGTGTTCAGTTGAAAAGACAGAACTGGAATCAACTAAATGTTTATTGAGTTAAACATGTTATAGCTAAATATACTTGGTTAACATGTTCGCCAAAATACTGACTGATTAAATAGACTGCAGAGTGTGTTACTATGCCACATTGCATTCAAAAGGAGGCGTCGGCCAGGCTCAGTGGCTCACACCTATAATCCCAGCACTTTGGGAGGCCAAGGCAGGCGGATCACCTGAGGTCAAGAGTTCGAGACCAGCCTGGCCAACATGGCAAAACCCCGTCTCTACTAAAAATACAAAAAAAAATTAGCCAGGTTTTGTGGCAGATGCCTTTAATCCTAGCTACTCGGGAGGCTGAGGCAGGAGAGTTGCTTGAACCCAGGAGGTAAAGGTTGCAGTGAGCTGAGATTGTGCCTGCCACTGCGCTCCAGCCTGGGTGACAGAGTGAGATTCCATCTTAAAAAAACAACAACAAAAAAAGGAGGCGTTGATAGGTACTGATGTGAAAAATGCATCAAGATAAATGGAGGGAAAATTGCAAGCAGCAGCCCCACATGAGCAGCGCAATCATCTTGCTGTAAATGGCAAAGTGGAAGTGCACGCATGTGCTTAAAAATGCAGAGAAAAGGTTTGTTTTGTGGAAAGGCCCACGAGAAACTGTCAGCAGTGGCTACCTCTTGGGAGAGGAGATTGGGGGGCAGCTTTTCCTTTCCATCTTATGCATTTCAGTATAATTTGGACTTTCTATTAATATGCATGAATTAGTCTGAATATATTTTTAAATGCTAATGGGGTCCTTAGACAGTGAGATCCAAAGATCCTAATTTTTCTTTATTTTCTTCTATATGCCAAAAAAGATAAAGGAAAAAAAAAAAGAAAAAGCAAGAGGCCAGGCCTGGTGGCTCACGCCTGTAATCTCAGCACTTTGGGAGGCCGAGGTGGGAGGGTTACTTGAGTCCAGAAGTTGGAGACCAGCCTGGCAACAGTGCACACCTCGCCTCTACTAAAAATTTAAAAATTAGCCAGGTATGGTGGCACGTACCTGTGATCCCACCTACTCAGGAGGCTGAGGCAGGAAGATCACTTAGAAAAAAAAAGTGGAAAGAATGACTGTAACATCCTAAATCAATCAATCAACCTCTTTCGTTTCTGCCCCCAGTTCTTGACACAGAGTTTTGGGGGTTTATTCTGAGAGACGGTCTTGCCCTACCGCCCAGGCTGGAGTGCACTGGTGTAGTCACAGCTCATTGCAGTGTTGACCTCCAGGGCTCAAGCCATCTTCCTGCCTCAACCTCTGGAGTAGCTGGGATCACAGGTGTGTGACACCATGCACAGCCCTGACACTGAGCTCCTAAATCCTTAGAAATTTCCTAAGTTATAAGGGTGGTAGGAGCATGTTTTGTCTAACATTTGGTTTTGATCCCAGTCCCTGGCACAGAGCTCCTAAATCCGTTGGAATTTCCTGGGTGATAGGAGTGTCTTTTGTTCTAATGAGGTGACTCCTGGGTGGGCTGGTCAACAGAGAGGTCAAGCTGCAGTGAGAAACTTGGAACTTTCAGCCTCACCACCCCCCAGCTGCTTCCACAGACTAGAGAGGAGCTGGAGATCAAATTAAGAACTAACGACACCTATATGAGAAGGCCTCCATCAGCATCCCTACAGCACAGGGCTGGGAGAGCTTCCAGGCTGAATGCATTCCCGTGCGCAGAGGTGGTGAGTTCCAACTCCGTGGGAACAGAAACTTTTATCATTTCCCTTCTTTTTTTTTTGGGATGAAGTCTTGCTCTGTTGCCCATGCTGTAGTGCAATGGCGAGATCTTGGCTCACTGCAACCTCCCCTCCCAGGTTCAAGCAATTATCCTGTCTCAGTCTCCTAAGTAGCTGGGATTACAGGTGTACGCCACCATGCCCAGCTAATTTTTGTATTTTTAGTAGAGATGGGGTTTTCACCCTGTTGGTCAGGCTGGTCTCGAACTCCTGACCTCGTGATCTGCCTGCCTCGGCCTCCCAAAGTGCTGGGATTACAGGTGTGAGCCACTGCACCCAGCCTATCATTTCCTTTAATAAACCAGTTAACAGAAGTGTTTCCCTGAGCTCTGTGAGATGCCATAGCAAATTACTGAACTGGATTGGAGGAGGGGTTCGTGGAACCCTCGATTTGCAGCCAAGTAGGACCAAAGTGTAGGTAACCAGGGGACCCGATACTTGTGATTGGCCTCTGAAGTGGGGGGCAGTCTGCGGACTGGGCCCATTAGTGTCAGAGTTGAATTGGAGGACACCCACTTGGTATCTGGAGAACTCATTGGTTGTAGGGGGGGCTGGCTGCGTATTTGGTATCAGAAGTGAAGGGTTCTGTGGAGTGCTGTGTGCATGGACAGAAAAACAGTTGTTTTTCTCATGGCTGGTGTCTCTCTTTCATGACAGACAAATGGCCATTGACTTATTCAGGGCAGGGCCCCAGAAATAAGCCAATACCAAGAATAGACAGGAGGCCAGTTCTTCTATTATGTGCAAGGGACACAAAGATTAAATGAAAAACAAGAGCAAAAATGAGCACAGTCCCTGCCTCAAGGAGCTCGTGGTCCAGTAGGAAAAACACACAAACAGATCATTGCAATCCAGGGTGAGGAGTCCATGAGCCGGGGCAGACCCATATCCCCAAAGGACCTGGTGTCAGGTGACCTGCCCGAGCCCTCCTGAGCAGAGAGGCTACTATACGTTTAGATTTTGGGCCAGGCACAGTGGCTCACACCTGTAATCACAGCACTTTGGGAGGCCAAGGCAGGAGGGTCACTTGAGCCTGAGGCTGAGGCTGTAGTAAGTCATGGATGTGCCACTGCACTCCAGCCTGGGCAAAAGAATAAGACCCTGTCTCAAAAATAAAAGAAGACCGGGCGACGTGGCTCACGCCTGTAATCCAAGCACTTTGGAGGCCAAGGCAGGTAGATCACCTGAGGTTGAGAGTTCAAGACCAGCCTGACCAACATGGTGAAGCCCCGTCTTTAAAAAAGAAAGAAAAAAAGAAAAGAAAAGAAAAAGAAAAAAATCAAATTATACTTGAGTTTGGAAGTCTGATTTTTTTTTTTTTTTTTTTCTTTTGAGACTGAGTTTCACTCTTGTTGCCCAGGCTGGAATGCAATGGCATAATATTGGCTCACTGCAACCTCTGCCTCCCGGGTTCAAGAGATTCTCCT